TCGTGTAAGCGGACTGAAAAGGATTCAAGCAAAGGAAATAGTAGAGTATTACTTCGAAAACAAAAGACGGTCTGGTGGAGGACCAATTACATCTTTTGTTCCTGTAGAATCAGATGGTGATACTTACGACATAACATTTGAAAACACAAAAGGTATACCATTAACACCCATCAACTCACTGTCAAAACAGCTGCTATTGCTTGTATAAAATGAATATAATAGTTAAAGTAAAATTGTTAAGTCGGTAGTTGATTAGGAAAATAAGCTCCCTCGTATTACCTAAATATATTTTAGAGGTGTTTTTATCAATATTTCCTTTTGCAGCCTTTTTTCATTTTAGCTCGACGTTTTCTAAGAAAAAATGAAATTTGAATATTATTATTTCACCAGGAAATTATGTTTAGCTAGAGAAACCTTTACTATAATATTCTAACTCTTATATGTTTGACATAGGTAATAAGAGAAAATTGAGTTTTACACCCGTAGGCGGTGAATATTGTTCTGTTTACTATTTAATTTTGTAGACTATTGCAAAACCAGTTGACAAGACAACATTTTGGACCAAACCTTCAAGTTGACTAAATTTCATTCATACGTACATAACCTTAACTTGAAGGTTTGATGTTTGAATTGTGCTATGATTGGTTAAAAGTTTATTATTTATGAATGGATTGTGGACAAGACTTTCAAATTGATACAACTGATTATGATATCAACAATACATTAATGAACGTGACCTTAATATTAAATATTTCACTTTTGCTTTAATTTTCTATAATTGGCTAAAATTTTGTAAATGGATTATTTTCATACTGCAATCAGACAATATTTTAAATGAGAATAAATTCAATTACACATTGAAACGACGTTGAAATTTTACAGTTTTATTTGCTAAAATAGGCCATAATTTTGTAAGTATTGTATGACAAGACCTGAAAGAATATTAAATTGGCCTTAACCTTAAATTAACATTGACAATTAAGATCAATTAAATTAATCTTGCTACAGTTGGCCATATCTTTGCTTTTTATCCATAGGTTTTATTTACACTTGGGCAAAAGAACACTAATAACATAATTGATATGTTTAGTAAGTCTAATATGAAATTAACTTACAAGTGACAAGAAACGTCAATGTCAAATGTTGAAATAAACCTGGACTGTCGTAGTTCTATAACTAGGTTAAACTATAAAATTTGTTTAAATTATCAAATCCTTATTATTATCGATTTGCTTTATACACATATAACAACACCGACATGCTAAATAATTCTGATATGACTTTCACGTTAATTTATTTCTTGACGGTGAACTTTTTGAAATTTCCTTAAATTGTCAATATTTGTTTAAGAAATAGATATCAATTTTGAGTGCATTGTTGTACAACAATACGCAATTAAAGTTAAAATACGCAAGAAAAAATTCATGAAAACCGATAGGCCTGGGTGATTAATTGCAAAGCATTAGAACCAGAAACCGTGTATTATTATACTACAATGTATGAAAAAAATATTTATTTACATTCTAGCATGCATATAAATTAGAAAACTGATAAAAATATGCTGAACTACATTGAGCAAAGAAGTAATTTTCCTGACGTCATTTGGTTATTGACGTCAAATTATGAGAATATTCTTTTACATATTTAACTGATAGAAAATAACACATAAGAAAAACTGGAGTGTTAACTTATTTTCAAATAACATCTAACTTAAAATGGCATATATATTTAGTGTTAAATTATTGAAATTTAATTACTTACTTTTTAATTTGATTTAATCGTGGATAAAAGAACACCTAAACTATGGAAAAACTGACAGGATGATTAACTCAAATGTGACCTTAACCTTTAAATGACTCTAATATTCAAGGCGAAAAATGAACTTTGAATATTATTTTTTCACAAGACATGTATGTTTTGTTAGAGAAATATTACAAGTAATTATTATATTTTAGCTCTAATGAGTTTGATATTAGAAATAATAGATAATCGAGTTTGACTCCTGTAGCCGTAGCTATTGTTCATTTTACTATTTAATATTGTAGATGCAAAATCAGTTGTAGAAAGGCGTCACGTTATTAACGGATTATCAGTTGATGTAACACGACTGCATAAAGATAGAGCAACTGAATACTATCGAGACAGGTTTCTTATCAAAGGATTGCAGGAAAACATATCTGACGAATTCATTCTGTACTTCATAAAAGCAGTAACAGGAATGAAACCAAAGTTTCATGCATTTAATAAAAAGGAAAAAGATGTTGTTCTCGTCATAATGGGATACGATCTTGGTATATATATTTATTTGCTTAAAAGTAATAATCTGTAACAAAATTAATTTATGAATTTTGTTTTTCTATCATCTAATTAGAAATAATAGCTATTATCGTGTCTTGTTATACATTTTGTCACAAAATTGTATGTCAGTAAACAGGTTTAGGTTGTTTTTCTCTATTTCAAACACCTTGCCCCTCACCGCTGTGATCTTGAATTCTGTCAGGGACTTCAGAAGGGAGATAAAAAGCTATCCATCTAGCATTTTAAGTGTCGCTGGTTCTACCAAAGTGCCTGATCATCCCTAAAATAGGGGAATCTTATTTTTCATCAGCAGTATAGTTAAAAGGCCAGAAATATGACATTTACAGTGTCGATGTGACTTAGAACCAAGCAAAATTTGTATACCATAACATACGGATGCATGATTGGAAATGAATCAATATAACTCATCGATAGCATTCTTTAAGTGATAGTTGAATGCCCGTCATTTGTTGTCCACATTTAGTTAACACTCTAGTTGTCACACTTAAACATCAGTTGTCATCAAACTTTGTCAAGATGTTTGACGAACGAGTTCTAATATGGATCATCTTGGATAAAAAAAACTAGGTCACAGGAGCAAAAACTAGAAACACAGTTTCGCACTAGTAGAAAGTGGTCAGAAAGGTTGTTTTAATGGTTTCTAGCTTACGTTCGAGTATAGGTCATCTTGGGGCAAAATATAGGTTACAAGCATATATGGACATAGACTTTTGCACTATTTCTTCAGGTGCATATATGAATGTTTGGAGATCAGTTTATGGCATATAATCTGCTTTTCGTTCATTATTTAATTAAGAGCCTTAATAAGCAGGTGAGCTACATTTATAAGCGCTATTTTGATACACTTGTTTACTTTATTTTCTAGATATTGCACAGTTAATTGAGCACTGCAAAGATGAAATGATTGAGGGTGTCAACATTCAAATATATGAGTTAGAAGTGTCAAATGTAATTCATGTCAGTAACCTACCTGAAAATATTCACAGTGATACAATACTACTCTACTTTGAAAACAAAAGAAAAAGCAAGGGGGGCACTGTTAAAAATGTCGTTCGGTTGGATAAAGCATCGTGCCTGGTGTACTTTGAGGATTATAAAGGTAGAGACGTTTTAATTCCAGTCACTATAAACGGTTGCGAGGAGAGATATTAAATAAATGTATGATTAAATTGTTTGAAAAAAATAATTGTAATTGAAATGAAAAATATAGAAATATAATTGCTATGCTTCCCGAATGGTGAGCATAGAATCGCCGCTTTGTCCGACCTTCCGTTCGTCCGCTTTTCTTGTTCGGGACATAACTCTGAAACAACAATAAGTATCAACATAAAACTAAGAAGGTAGATAAATGTCATTTTGTCCGGAACATAACTCTGAATATATAAGAGATATCAATATGAAACTGTGTAGATAGATATATCTCATTAGTTAGATGTTTCCTGCACAAGAACCGTAACTCTGCCTTGCCTAATTTTTATTACTGCCCTTTGTTCATTTTTACACTTTGAACTTTTTCTGGGACATAACTCTGACACTATAACAGATATGAACAAGACATTTTGTAGGTAGATAGATCTCATTGAGTAGAAGTGCAGGACAAAAACAAAACAGTAACGCTGCCTTGCCTAAGTTCGGAATCATTGCACTTTGAACTTTGTCCGGGACATAACTGTGAAACTACAAAAAATATACTTCTCTGTGTTCAAAACCTATTCGGGGAGCATCACCCGATTCAAGCGGCTCTTGTTTGAAAACTGGATACAGTAATGTTTTGAGTTGTTTATACCTTGATATATAAAATACATGACTTTACAAGCAAGTTATTTTACAAAAAAATGCGCGTTTATTGTCATTCATGTATTGTTGACAACAATAAGTTCATTCTTTGATGAAAGGGTTTATGGGCTAGTAGCCATTAAGTAGACAAAAGAAAATAACAAAGAAAATAGCCACGAAAACCAAAATGTTGGAACGTACGAATAAACTCATGTAACGGTATGGGATGATTATTGTATTCATTTTGTTCAGACCTGTATTGTTGGGGAAAATTTTGCTTATGCGGCGAAAGTTTGTCGCTTAGGTTAATTTTAGATCAAAGAAAATTAAAAAAAGGTAACGTCAGCTCGGGGAGAACTCTGTCTGTCCGTCAGTCACAAAAAGTGTTCGAACTCAAAACCTAGAGTTTCCAATTCATATATACTTAAAATCAGTACCCTCGTTTAGTTATGCATATCGTCAGAATTTTACAGTCCCGTGATTTTTATCAGAGAAAGTGTCCTTTAATTAAATATACTTTTTAAAGTTTTGTCTCGGCTACTTCTATTATACTACTTATGCAACTGCTATGAATCTTTTCAGGAGCGATCAGTCTTCAAGTTGTTCCATAAATTCCACTTGTTGTCTAGTTGAATCACTTTGACTGAGTATGGCCCTTGAATAATAAAAGCGTATTGGCCTGTTGATAATATTTGTGTCTCCTGCATAGTGACTCTATCATACTGTAAAGTAGCTGCGACATATATGGACAAACTGTCCAATAACTCTTTCTCTTCAAATGCGTAATGTATATTTACTAATAATTATGAAATTTGGTTATTATTCACAGTGATTAAGAGTGTGTTGGGCCATGCACATGTTTTACAAAGAAGAGATTTAACTGTTCGAAAATATTTCAAATTTGTTGAACAAACAGAAGATGAAGTTTTCGGCACAAATATCCCACAAACAGTTGTTATTCCTGAAATAGACATTCGAATACTTAGATTTATTCAACAAAATGAGAAATTTAAGGAAATTGTTGAACAAGAATTACTTAGTCATCACGCTCAGGTTTATTGGCCAAAGGGAGGATCCGACAGTTGCGAAGTCAGAATCAACTGCATTGTTGATGAATCAAACATTTTGTCCAATAGATTTATCTTGAGATGGGAACAAGAAATTAGAGAATTTTTCAAATACTTGATGGACAAGATTTATGTCCATTGTATCACCTTAATCGGTGAATTTAATTTTGATGATTCGTGTGTTGAATGCACTGCAGACAATGAAGAAAACATACTTGTTCTATTCGACAAAGGTAAATCTATGATAACTTTTGTGGGTACATCTCCAAAGCTAGCTTCCACCTTACGATCCGAGCATAACTTCTCAGGGGATGCCGAGGAAGAGTTGAAAGTGGAGAAAGTGTTTCTTGCACATGCAGTTGAATTTAAAATGTTCAGATCACTGGGATATAGAGAGAAAATAGCAACGGAAGTGCCACACATTTGTATAAAGGAGAGGAAGGATGATTTAGCTGTTGAATTAGAAGGGAATCTGTTAGATGTAAGGAAAGCAAAACTAATAATGCTTGATATAAAGAACGAGTTTAAAACTGTATTTTTCTACCCATTATCAGCATTATCGTCGAATCTGTACTCGAATTTGCCGACAGTCGATTTTGTAAACAAAAGGCTACAGGATGCTGGTTTGGATTGCATCTGGAGTGTTTCTCATACAAAATTAATCTTATGTTGCCAAAACAAGTTTGATTCTGAAATATGCATGGATGTTATTAAAGCATCAGTCATTGATGATGTCATTCATCAGCACACAAATAAAGTTGAAAGCTGTGACTTGCGTCTTGTAGAAAAAAAGATAAATGAAATCGAGGCAAAGTACCCAGGAAAAGTTGCTATATCGTTAACAGTAGATAACAAGATTCATCTCTGTTCAACGAAAGACATACGGGAGGTCATTCTGGAAGAGTTTAGGGCAACCATACAAAAGCAGAATGATTCAAATGCATGTCGTTCTAAAGGTGAGAATATAATTTACTAAAAGTGTCCATTAGATTATAATCTAACTTATCAGCCTTTGTAATAATGAAAACCTTTACTGAAATGCATTTGCTGATGCGCCCATATAAATATTTAGGTCAATGCAAAAATAAGACAAGTTCATTCTCAGTTAAATAAAATGGACCCACTCAGATAATCAAACCTTATTCGAAAATCCAAATTACTTCCCAAAATTCGAAATCCTTCCCATCTTTACAAATGTACCATCATATGATATTGATTTTTTAACAGTTTTGCAGTCTTTTATTAAGACCACATTCAGTAACATTATAATTATTTAGTTTGCAAACAAATATAATTTATTTCTTGCATTTGTGAAACAAAAGCACAAGGTCCTTTGAGGTTTGATAAGACACCACCAAAATCGTAAGATTGACGTACGACAATCGTACGATAAAAAACGGTCAAAAAATTTAGGTTATCTTATTGTACGATTTTGATCTACAATGGCGTACTGCCGATCGTAAGACTGTCTAATTTACGCAATCATACGTTCAACCTAAAATCGTAGAATTTTCATGGACATAGGATTCTTACGCTTGCTTACTAGCACGTACGTTCCCTAAAAGGAGATATGACGCATTTTAATGTCAATATTGAAAGACGACGTCTGATGCAATTCAGCACAAACTAGATGAACTGGACTCCTGATTAGCATGATTTGCTCATCAGAAAGTGTGTAGGTTCTGCTGTGACGACAGGAAAGTTGATGTTATCACTAAAAGCTGCTGATATAGCACTATTATAAAAAAGTAACCAGCAATGTATTTTGTAGGAAATTGATCTTGATTTTTGATATTTTACCATTATATATTTTTAAACAACAAATAAAAAAACTTCTAAACAAAGAGCAAACTTTGATCATTTGAATGATTTGTTTAGCTGACTATTTTATCAAAAATAGATCTTTTACCCAAAAAACGTAATGTTTTGTTGAATGTCAACCATTCTCTTCTTCTGTAATGCCCCCCCCCCCCCCCCCCCCAATTTCGAAGAAGATGGGGTATATTGTTTTGCTAATGACGGTCTGTCTGTCCGTCGGTAGACAACATGGTTTCCGCTGATTATCTTGAAAACTATTCATCAAAATGTCTCAAAGTATTCTTATTTCACATATTAATTGGTCATAACTAGTAAATGTAGTAGATGACACCTACTGATTTTGGGGTCACTAGGTCAAAGATCAAGGCCACAGGTTTCTTAAATGTCCGAATGGCTTATTGGTTACAATTCCTCGCAAAGTCTTCTTATTTCACATATTGATTGGTCATAACTAGTAGAAGTGTCTATTGATTTTGGGATCACTAGGTCAAAGGTTAAGGTCACAGGGGTCTCAAATGTCAGAATAGTTTCCGCTGATTACCTTGAAAAGTATTCATCACAAAGTCTTCATATATCACATAGTGATTGGAAATAGATGATTCCTGTTGATTTTGGGGTCACTAGGTCAAAGATTTAGGTCACAGGGGCCTTAAATGTCAGAATGTTTTCAGCTAATTATCATGGTTACTATTTATCACAAAGTCTTCATATTTCACATACTGATTGGTCATGACTAGTAGATGACCTTTTTATGTTCCTTGAAATTTTCGGGAGAGCATATAGTCGTCGGGTTGTCTGCCGTCACTCCGTCCGTGCGTACGTACGTCCCGAATTCGTGTCCGGCACATAACTTTTTTATTTGAAGTCAGATTTTGCAACTATTCCACAGAAGTAATCACCATATTGAGACGTGTCGAGCGCAAATTTGGGTCGCTGCCTTAAAGGTCAAGGTTACAGCATGACCTTGAAGCAAAATCGTGTCCGGCCCATAACCTCTTTATTTGAATTCGGATTTAAACAACTATTTCACAGAAATGATCACCATATTGAGGCGACGTGTCGCGCGCAACATTTGTGTCCCTACCTTGAAAGTCAGGGTCACAGCATGTCATTGCAGCAATGCCTCAAAATCGTGTCCGACCCATAACTTCTTTATTTGAAATCGGACTTTACAATTATTTCACAGAGATGATCACCATATTGAGACAACGTGTTGCGTGCAACATTTTGGTCCCTACCTTGAAGGCCAAGGTCTAAGCATGTCCTTGCATCAATGCAGCAAAATCGTGTCCGACACATAACTTCTTTATTTGAAATCGGATTTTACAACTATTACACAGAAATGATCACCATATTGAGACGACGTATCGCGCGCAACATTTGGGGGTCAATACCTTGAAGGTCAAGGTCACTGCATGAATTTACAGCAAAATCGTGTCCGACCCATAACTTCGTTATTTTAAGTTGGATTTTACAAGGTCACAGCATGACCTTACAGCAAAATCGTGTCCGGCCCAAGTTTTCGTTATTTCGTTATTAAGTCGGAATTTACAACTATTTCAAAGAAATGAAAACATATTGAGACGACGTGTCGCGCGCAACATTTGGGTTGTTTTAACACTGAACTTTGTCTGAGACATTATCTTACACAACAAGAGGTATACCTTCCTGTGTCCAAAACCTATTCGGGGAGCATCACCCGGTTCAACCGGCTCTTGTTGATTTTAGGGTCACTAGGTCAAAAGTCAAGGTCACAGGGGCATTGAATGGTCGTATTATTTGCTTATTATCTTTCTTACTTTTAATCACAAAATCTTTATATTTCACATAATGATTCGTCATAAATAGTAAATGACTTCTATAGATTTTAGGGTCTTCAGTTGACAGGGTCTTCATATTTCACATACTGATTGGTCATAACCAGCGGATGACCTGTATTGCTTTGAGGGTGAGACCTAGTTTCTGAACACAAGTGACCAATATTCTAACTTGATCTGGAAAGCATTGAAACAACCTTTCTGACCTGTATCCAGGATAGTTGGATTGGAACAGTAGCCTTTAGAGTGTTAACAAGGGTTTTCTATTTTGGGGTTGTGTGACCTAGTTTTTTACCTCAGATGATCCATATTCGAACTTGACCGAGAAATCATTAAAACAATCTTTCTGACTGATTTCCAGGATATTTGGATCAAAACAGCCACTGGAATGTCAACAAATTTTTTTTATTTTTAGCTCCTGTAACTTAGTTTTTCATCCGAGATGACCCGTGTTCGAACTCATCTAAGCAATTACTTAAACAAGTAGTCTGATCAAACCAAGTTTCGTATCTTTATGTTAAAAAAACAAGAAAGTTGGTCGATATAAAAATATCAAAAGTAAGTCCACTGATATCAAAATTCAATAAAGCATAAAAAAGAAACACCCTTGGTCCAAATTTCTTGTCTGTACGTCAACTAACAAGACAGAAGGTCAAATGATATCTTAAGTAAGTCAACTGCTATCAAAATTTATTTTAACTATAAGAAATTACACCCTTGGTCCAAATTTAAAGTCTATACTTAAAAAAACAAAAACGTAGGCCAAGCAATGTCAAAAATATTTAAAGTAGGTAGGCTGTTAAGAGTTTTCGACTCGGCAACATAAATGTCACGTATTGTCCGAATTATAAGTGTGTAAGTCAAATACAAAATTGTAGGTCAAGCCATATCAAAAATATCACAAGTAGGTCAGCTGATATCGAAATTCAATTAGGCATCAAAAATTACACCCCACCCCATGGTCCTTAATTCAAGTCTGTTTGTCAAAACGAGCAAGTAGGTCAAATGGTGACAATTATATCAAAAGTCGGTCAGCTGATATCAAAATTAAAATCAATATCAAAAATTACATACATAAAACCCAAAAAGGTTGGTCAGGTGATGTCAAAAAATATCAAAGATAGGCCAGTTGATATCTAAAGTCAGTTCAGGAAAAAAAATACGCCCCTTGTCAAAATTTCAAGTTTGTACATCAAAAATTGAGAAACAAGGTCAAATGATATCATTAATATCAAACGTAGGTCAGTTAATATCAAATTTAATTCAGAATTAGAAATTACATTCCTGGTCCAAATTGCAAGTCTGTCAAAACACAAGAAAGTAAGTCAAATGGTTAAACAAAATATCAATAAGTCGGATTGACTCTAAACTTGGTAACTATGTGCTTCTTTCAATAACCCAAAGTGCAGTGCACAAGAATCGTTACTCTGCTTACTTGTTACTTCTTAATTTTTGAATCATTGCCCTTTGTTAACCTTCATACTTAAATTTTGTCCGGGCCATTTCTCCTAAACTTTAAAAGCTATGAACTTGAAACATCATAGGATATTAGATTTTATGATGAAGTGCAATAACAAGAACCGGTACTCTGCACTGCTTATTTTGTGAGTTATTTTCTTTGTATATTTTCATATTTCATTTTTGTCCGGGCTTTTTCACCTAAACTATAAAAGCTTTTGACATGAAAACTTCAGAGGCTGATAGAGCTCAATGAGATGATGTGCAGTGCAAAACAATTGGGTACTCTATGATTTTTTAGTTATTACCCTTTGTTTATTTTCTTACTTTATTTTTATCTTGGCCATTTCACATAAGCTATAAAAGCTATGGACTTGAATCTTCAGAGGATGATAAATCTTACTGAAAAGAAGTGCAGTGAATAAGGATAGGTACTCTGTACTTCATGATGTTAGTGTTATTACCCTTTGTTAATTATATTACTTTTTTTTGCCAATTCTCCTTCACAAAAAGCTATTGACTTGAAACTGCAGAGGATGATAGATCTCATTGAGAAGAAGTGCAATACACAAGAACTTGTACTCTGCATTTCTTGATTTTTGAGTTTTTGTCCTTTGTTTATTTTCTTATTACCTTATAGGCTTGTCCAGCACATAACTTTATAAGTTTGATTGACTCCAAATTGGTATGTAAACATTTTTCATTGACCTAAAGTGCAGTTTTTAAGAGTCCATCACAGAGTCCTCCATTTGATTTCATGGTATTTTTATTTTTGATAATATTACAGTTTTATTAATCCTGATGTAACATAGTTACAATCAGTTCAAATACCACTAAAATTCAAGGTACATGTACATTGTAAA